TCTGTTTCCGTTTTGTTCCTTTGTTGGCCTGTTCTGCTTTCTCTTTCTTTTCCTTTTTAATTGAAGTATAGGCTCCCTCCAGTGGCTAATCACAGAGCTCTTAATTCCCAAAGGCCACTGTCTTGAGCCCAGGGGTTAGAATCCTAGAAAGACTGGGCATTTCTTCGGTGTTTTCTGAAGCAGAAAGAAGTTATGCCGAAATATTTTCATTTTCATTTATATATTGTTTGATTCGGTGATGGGCTAGAAGAAGTACTTCCCCCTTCTCTGGAACTAAAGGGCTTGCCCCCCCTCCCCAGCTTTTGTTTATTGGGTAGAATCTGTACCTCAGAACTATGGCCTGCCACAAGTGGAGGTGTGAAGCAGACTGGGAGGGCCGAGGGCAGCTTGAGTGGCAGGACCAGGGTGACAGATCTGGGAACAGGAGGAGGAAACTTGGCGGGGGCACTGCCAATCTCATCCTCCAGCGTTTTCTCTAGGTTCATTTCTCCCTCTTCCTCCCCTTTCCTACTGCCTAAGAGTGCCAGAGTCAGGAGACCTGGGTTTGAATCTTGATTTAGCCACTTACCTGTGTGACTGTGGGCAAATTACCTCCTCTGAGCCGCAGTTTCTTTCTGTCTGAAATGAGGGCATTGAGCTAATTGATCTCTAAGGGCCCTTCCGAGCCTCTGTGACTAGGGGAACACTCTAGCCTTTTTTAATTGATAAATTTTGTTTTAACATGGCAGTGGAACTTAACTGCTGAATATCCTCTTGAAAAACAATCAAGCGAAACAGTGTTTTAAAATGATGCTTTTGTCATTGACCATTTGTCAAAAGGAAAGAAAGCTCGGCCCTTTTAGCTAGCCAGTACTAACGTTGTCTGGTGTCATTTTTCTGAGGTTGGTTTGTCTTTCTTTCATATTGTCTTCATTTATAGGGTTCCAGTCATCGTGTGTGCTTCTCGCTTTGCTTTCTTCCCTCTCTAGCACTTCTTCATAGTCACCATTCTTTGTGTCCAGTAATGATTGCATTACACCCCTGTATCGTTTTGTTCAGCCACTTACTCATTGATTGGCATGTGGTTTCTTTCTAGTTTTTTTACTATGACAAATAGTGCTGCTGTGGTTTTATGTGGCTAGGTCTTTTTGTTCATGACCTCCTTGGGGTATCCACCCAATGGTGGGGTCACTGGGTCAAAGGATGTGTACCCTTTTATACATTCATTTATAACTTTTCTCCTGTAATTCCAAATTGTTCTCTAAAACAATTGGACAGCTTGATCAGAAGGAAATGAGCATATCTGTCTTCCCAAAGTCCCTTCAACATTGCTAATTTGATGGTTATGATGTGATACCTCAGTGTTGTTTTAATGTGCATTTCTCTATTAGTGATCTTGAACAGTTTTTCAGATAGTTGTTGATAATTTTCCTTTTGATAGATAATGGGGCTTCTTTGGGGATGGTGGTAGTGGCAAAGCTCGTTTGTGAAACTGGTTAACACATTTCCTCATTCCTTTGAGTATCTGATAATCAAGAGGTGGTCACAGAAGAAAAATCAGCTTCTCCTTGTCTACCCTTGTGGGAGGTAGCCCCAGTGAGGGTAACAGTGGGTAATCTTCAGATCAGTTATATTAACTGTTGGAGCACTGAAAGCGTTTTGGGTACATTGTCACAAATCAGGCCTGTGAAGACGAGGAGGGAGTGCTGGTATTATCCCTATTTTACAAAGCAGGAAACTAAGGCTCAAAGGGAGGGGTCATGGGAGAGGGGCAGAGCTGGAACTTTCTATCTCAGTGGAGTCTCAATAGCAACAATAGTCTCAATAGGGTCAGCAAGGATTATTTTTACAGGTCAGAGGTTGAAGGAAAATTTGTTAACTGGGCAATAAACTGAAACCCTCAATTTACTTTTTTTTTTTGAGGCAATTAGGGTTTAAGTGACTTGCCCAGGGTCACACAGCTAGTGTGTCTTAGGTCAGATTTGAACTCAGGTCCTCCTGACTCTGTGGCTAGTGCTCTAACCACTGCATCGCCTATCTGCCCTCTTTTTTTAAAATTTTTTTTGTACTCATCTTTTAGGAGAAAGAGACCAACTCGAGAAAAGTAGCCTGAAATCAGCCTGGTATGTGGAAAGAGCTCTGGAAATAGTAGCAAAAGACACATGTTGTTACCAATGTTGTAACCAAATAAGGGGAATGAGAAGGTGGCATTTAGGTGGGGCTTTTGAAGAGGTGGGTGACAATCAATAGGTGAAGGAGGAGAGGGAAGGGAAGACATTCCAGGTGCAGGAAAGAGCCTGAGCAGAGGTAGAGAAAGGAGGAGAGCACAGTGTGCATTGGGGGGTGTGCAGAGGCCCTTTCAGCTGTGGACCAGAATATTAGGAGCTGAGGTTGGGAAGGGCCTTAATGCCAGGCAGGGGCGTTAACTCCACAGACAATAGGAAATCACTGAAGATTGTATTAAAACAGTAGAACCTGTCCATCTGCACTCTGCTGCTTTTTTAGGTAGAGAATAGGGAACATGACGCAATCTTTTGTTGGTGATTCCTGGTCACCATCCTGAGCATGGACAGTGCTCATACTTGGCTAAAGCACAATGTTGCCCCAGCAGGCTTAACTTGCCCCTGGACTGCACAGTCTCAGCCTGCTGGGCTATAACTGGCATTTTCCTCTGCTTTGTTGGAGCAATCTCTGTCCCCTGATGTTACTACTTTTGAAAAAATACCTCTTCCCCATTGACTCTTCCCTTGTAACAAAAGAAAAGCAGTTCAAACAAATCCAACCAACCATGTCTGACAGCATATGCCCACAGCAACCAAGTCTGACAGTGCGTGCACGGCTCTGAATCCAGAGTCCTCTGCCTCCCTCCTGAGAGGAGGGCCAGTCATTTCTTGTAGGGGGGATTCTTGTACATGGCTCGCTTAAACTGGCTGGCCTCCCAGTTTGGAGATTCTCCAGTGGTGGTGTGAGCACAGAGGAAGGGACAGATGACAGGGAGGGTACAATGGACAGTGCCTGGCTGCTTTTGCAGATGGAGGATGATGGTGAGGGAAGAACTGAAGATGAACTTTGTGCTTAGGCCAATGTTGCCGCAGATGGGTGTTTGTGCCCCGGGTGTAGAGGCGGGTGCGGGGGATGGTGCTTGGGGCACAGCTCATACTGGAGTGAGGAGAGGTGCTGTCCTGAGCAGCAGGGCAGCGGGAAGGAATCGAGAAGCATGATGAAGAGTGGGGAATTCAGATCCAGCCTCCAAGTGTTGTTGTGGACAGCCTACAGAATGCATTTGGCCACCATAAAGATTAGGGAGAAATTAATGTGAGATTTTCCCTTCCTGGGGTTTTTTCTCCATACACCTTTCTTGTTAGAGGAACCTATTTAGTGGGTTAGGTCCATCTGCCGTAGGAGCCAACATTTTATAGCAATGTGACCCTGGACCAGTCCTTCACTGTCTTTGGACATCAGTGCCTTTGTCTGTAAAATGAAGATAGTCCTTGAGAGCACCTAGCTCATCGGGGGGGGGGGGGGAGAACTTCTGGGAAATCCATACTGCTGTTGTTAAGTAACAGTGAAGCCAAGTTGGCCTCTGAGTCAGCAGGGTCAAGGGTCAGGTCCTACCTTGGACCAATACAGGCTGGTCATTTCAACTCTCAGTGCCCTGAAACTTCCCTCAATGAAATCCCAGCGCTGGCCTAAGATTGATAATAGTGATGATGATGACAATGATGAAGATGAAGCTCTAGAAGAAAGGAGTCCTTGCCCTTGAAACTTCAACTTAGTTACGAAGACAGGGCTAAATTCAGTGAACCAAATAACTTGTTCAAAGTCATGTAAGTAGCAGAACCAGGATCTGAATCCAGGGCTTTTGACTGTAGATCTAGTGCTCTTTCCATTGTACCATGGGCCTCCCTCTCAGGTTGCCTTCTTGGGACTGTGGCACTAGCTTTTACATAGTTTCCTTCTCCCACTATTTTCCTTACTAACTTCCACTTGCTTCAGAAACTCCTGGCTCCTTGTACTAAACTGTGTGTGTGTGTGGTGTGTGGTGTGTGTGTGTGTGTGTGTGTGTGTGTGTGTGTGTGTGTGTGGTTTAGCTATTTTCTTCTGGCCCTGGCCTCTTGTATTAGGCTGGCTTATATTGATTTCTGTGTTTTGTCACGCACCATCAATTTTCTACTAGCTGGGGCTAACTCCAGGGGAGAAGAGGCCTGGATAATGCAAAAGCAATGGGTAACCCCAAATGTTTTTATTGGCTTTGAAATTCCTGAGGCAAGTGCTCTTTCTGACACCCCCACACAGTGACCTCCACCCAGTTCAACTTCAGTGTCAGAGACTGCTAGGGCCCAGCCCACCCAGGGAGACTCTGTGGTATTTAGTGGAAAGGATAGCAGACCAGAAGATTCCTGGGTTCAAATCCTCACTCCTGTACTTACTAGTTGTCTGTATGACCTTGGGCCAGATTACTTCTCTCTCCTCTCTGGACCTCAGTTTTCTCCTCTGTAAAATTGGATTGATAAATCCCTGCACGACCCACCACACGCTACTACACAGGGCCGTTATTGAGAAAGCAGTCTGGAAACCTTTGACGCACAGGGAAAGGGGATGTTGTCATTAGTTGAGGAGGGATGATGTCCCAGATAAGCCACTCACAGATAACAGAGTTGGCTGTGTGTCCAGAGCCTAGACGTTCTTAAAAAAATTAATGAACTGAATGCTTATGTGGGATTGGGAATAATACCAGAGTCCCAGATGTTCATGGCACTGTGCCGATTAAGTGTCTTGCAGTGTTCTGTGTGTTTACCTCTTCCTGGTTCGTGAGGTGGAGAAGAGGCATGGTCTTCCCACAGCTTTATGGGGAGCTGGCCTTGGCACCATCTTGAGGCACTTGTAGGTGGCATCACTTGCGGTGTCCCCAGCCTGCTACCAGGCTCCCGTCTTGCAGCTTCCAGTACAGCTGGGGCATTGAGGCCAGGAGCAGTGGATAAGTGAATGTGAGTGAAACTGTGCTTTTTTCTTTTCTCCAGGTGCCGCTACTTGGCCGTTCAGCTGTCTCCTGCCATCCCTGTCTTTGCAGCTGTCCTTTTCCTCTTTTCCATGGCTACGCTGCTGCGGACGAGCTTCAGTGACCCTGGTGTGATTCCCCGGGCCCTGCCAGATGAAGCAGCTTTCATTGAAATGGAGATAGGTGAGCTGGGCTGGCCAAGAAGCCCCTGAGGGGGCGTAAGCTGCCACCAGGACACTCGTCACCGTGCCCTGAATGATTGTGCAAGGATCATAACAGCTAGCATCATCCCTGGCCTTCTGTGTAGTCCATTTTCCTCCTGAGCCATTTCATGCCTGTGTACTCATCCTGTCTTTGTGCTATTCCCAGAAGGTAGATGTGGGCGGCTGTAGTAAAGCCTCAATCTTCCCCAGATTTGGTGAAACTTGGAATAGGAAAAGAGCTCGGAGTTGAAGCCAGGAGACTTGGGTTTCCAGTTTGGCTTAGCCACGTACTAGCTCTAACAACCTTGGGCAAATCACTTCCCCTTTTTGGGCTTCAGTTTCCTCCTCTGTAAAATGAGACGTAACAACACTAGCACTTCCAGCTTTACAGGTGATCTCCTGGAGGGCCAAAAGAGACAGTAGATACCCGACCAAGCATTTTATAAACCCTGAAGTGCCCTGACTGTGGGTTGTCCTGTACCTATCATGGTTTGTTTTCCCTTTCTAGAACCTGGGTTGTGAGGCCAGTGCTGGTGATGACACGCCCATCTTAGTAGTGCACTGGAGTTTCCGAGAAGCTTTCCTCACCCCAGCCCTGCCAGGGTTGATGTTGCCACCTTACAAATGAGAAAGCTAAGGTTTAGGAAGGTCTTGTGACTTGCCGATGCTCGAAGAGCTAACTGGTGGCAAAGCTGGACCTTGAACACAAGTCTAATGGCTCTAAGATGAGGGCCTGGCATCAGCCTTATATGACTACAGGATTGGCCTTTTCCAGCCATTTTGCAGTTGGCAGCAAGATATACTCTCTGGTCATAGTGGAGTCTGTATCATGGCTGTGATTTAGATTGACCCTCAGATCTAAATCTCATGCTATTCCATTCTTAGCTATATTTGCTTTAACTCTTCATGTCCTGTTTGCCTGTGTCTATATTTTCAGCTTTCTGTCTCAGCAGGGTGGGAGGGCAGAGGAAGATCATATGTTTATAGACCATAGTGGGGCTTCTTAAACTTTTTCCACTCCCGACTGACCCCTTCAGTGCTGCTTCTTTTTTTTTTTTTTGGTGAGGCAGTTGGGGTTAAGTGACTTGCCCAGCGTCACACAGCTAGTGTCAAGTGTCTGAGGCTGGATTTGAACTCAGGTCCTCCTGACTCCAGGGCTGGTGCCCTATCCACTTCACCACCTAGCTGCTCCGCCTTCAGTGCTTCTTAAACTGTGCTTCGTAGAGCTAGAATGGATGTTAAGTCCAACCTCCTCCCCATTCCACAGATGAAGAAAGCAGCTCAGATACGGGGTAAATGACTTGTCCAAGGTCATCCAGGTAGGAAGTAGCAGAGCAGTTGTTTCTGGGAGGCTGCAGACTGTGCATGGACAACGATGGGTGAGAGCTAGCAGGCAGATCTGGGCTGGAATCAGGGCACTGCTTTTTGTTAACCTGTGTCATCTTGGGCAAGTCTCTGAATAAATCTGATTGCTACACTTTTTTGTTATGAGGGATGACTCCCTGGGAGCAGAGAGGAAGGATAGAGGGGAAAACGTAGGTGATATTAAAACAAGACAGCAATAAAAATGGATTTTTAAAGAGTTGCCACATGCCATCCCCAAAGGATCCCAGACTGTTAGAGCAGGAAGGGATAACAATGAAAAAGAAAACTAAATTTCCAACGAAGGCATAGTCGAGCAAAGCAAATGCCCGCAAAGAGTTCCCTGTCCCCCTCTCTGTCAGCTTCACCCTTGGGCTTCTTGGGTCATGTCTGAGTGTTGCTTTGAACAGTTCTTTCTTAAGCTTTTCAAAATTGTTTATTTTTACAAACTGGAAAGGATGGTATGCATTGTTCTTTTGATTCTACTCACTTCACTCTGCTTTGGTTATAGAGTATAAGTATAGACAGTTCTCACTTTATGTAAGTTTGTATTATGCAAATTCAACTCCCTGGCTGGCTCCGGCCCAGGTGGCAGCCATAGTGGCAGTTGTGCCAGTGCAGCCCTGCTCCAGGAGTCCTACATTCCAGGCATTAAAGTCACCCCATCTGGGGGGTTGGGGTGGAGAGGTCACAGAGGAGCCCCATGAGAGGATGGGGGAGGGTATGTTAAGCCAGAACGGTCTGTATACTTTTAGTATACCTCTAAATTTTCCCAGGTTTCTCTGAAACCACCCTCTTTATCATTTCTTACAACGTGGCACAATGGCATTCCATCACATCGATAACATGACTAGTTCAGCCATTCCCCAGCTGATGGACACCTCCTTAGTTTCCAGTTTTTTGCTACCACCAAAAAGAGCTGCTATAAATATTTGTGTACATAGAGGACCTTTTCCTTTTATCTCTGGGATATAGCCTAGGAGTGGTATCACTGGGTCAAAGGGTAGCAATTATTTTTTAAACCTTGGTGGATTAGAATGAATTGTTTTGAGAATTATTGATGAAATCTTCTGGGATCACTTGGCACAATCCAGGTGTTAAACCCAGGTTGAGAAATGCTGATTTGGGGGTTGGGGGAATGTGCCAGAGCAGCTCACCTCTCTTTTGATTGAACTTGGTAATTACTGTCAGAAAGGTGTCAAGGACCGCTGGGCTTGTGTCAGGCATCTACAGTCTGGATTGGATCATGTGTTTCAGAGGCAACCAATGGCACAGTGCCACAGGGTCAGCGTCCGCCCCCTCGAATCAAGAATTTCCAGATCAACAACCAGATCGTGAAACTAAAGTATTGTTATACATGCAAGATCTTCAGGCCCCCCCGGGCTTCCCACTGCAGCATCTGTGACAATTGTGTGGGTAAGCAGAACATTTTGAGGGGTTACCCTGGCCAGCTTGATCCTAGGCCTGGGTAGGCGTCTTTGGGTGCTGAGAGATAGCTCTTCTTAGGAGGCTCCATCAGCCTCCCTTTATGTAATAGGTGACAATTTTAGAGTTAGTTGAGATTTTAGAGACCGGCTAGTCTGAGAGTTCTTAACCTTTCTGTGTTTGGCATTCTGGTGAAGTCTTTGGACTCCTCAGAATAGATTTTTAAAAATTCATAATTGAATAAATAAATATCAATTAGAACTTAAAAAATAAGGAAGTCAATTTTTCCTCGTCCAAGTTCACAGGATCCTTGGGAATTGGTGGGTCTTGTATTAATAATCCCTGGTCTAGTCTAACCTTCTCATTTTGCAAGAAACTGAGAAAGCCCAGATTGGGCAAGGGACTTGACCAAGATCCTACAGCTAGCCTGTGGTAGAGCCAGGAATGAACCCCAGGGCTCTGGACTTCAAAGCCTGGACTCTTTGCATGTCACAGATCCCCTGATGAATGATGCTTCTGGGAGGTGTCTGGTTTCCCCAGCTATGGCTGGGCAGAGGTATCTGGTTGTGTGAATTCTTGGGAGAGGGAGGAATATTTCCCTGATTCACCAGTTGTGAAAATCTGTATTTTCCTTGAATTTGTTTGTTTAAAGACATGGGGGTATGAGAGCCTTTGTCCACTGGAGGGCAGTAATGCCAGGCTTTAGCGGGCTGGCAACCATGCATTGTGTGTCTGTACCTGAGAAGGCCTGCCTGTGAAGGCCTGCCTGTTCAACATGCCCTCTCTGCCACGGCTGGCTCTGCAGCAGGTAGTTCAGGCCATTCTAGCCCATTGGTTAAATTCCTTTTATTGCTAGGAGCCCACCTAGCATCCACATAGCACGTTGCTTTCCTCTTACTCCCCAAGTGTCTGTTGGGTGGGCCAGAGGTGGGAAAAGTTACACGTACACTGAATCCTAATTCAAATGTTCCAGGAATGACATTTAATGAAGGCCTACAATGAATCCTTTTCGGTAAAAGAAAGGTCCTTCCTCACTTCCTCTGATTTCCTTTTTGTATCAGCCCCAATTTTAACATGTCAAGTTTGCTATTTTCATACAAGTTCAGAGTACACTTGTAACCCAAACCTGTGATATGTGGGCAGCATGACAGTGCAAAGGCCAGTGGAATCTCAGCCAGCTCTGACACTTGCAGCTCTGTAACCTTGCTTGCTTAAGTCCCTTCTGTTCTGTGAGCCTTAGTTTGCTCATCTGTAAAATGGAGATAATAACATTTGCACTATCTACTTTCTGGTGAGGAGGCTGGGAGGGTCAAGTAAGATAGTGGACACAAGGTGCTTGGTAAAGTGCTAGAAATGTGAACTCTTGAGAATATTGCAGGATAAAGCCTGTTCCCTGTGCTGGTTTACTCTAACACAACAGCCTTAGGAGATAGGGAGGACAAGAAACTTGGGACTCAGAGAAGGGAAATGATTTGCTTGTGCTTACAAAGCTCTTATATAGCAAAGGTGGGTCTGAGTCCCATGGTCCTTCTACTGCACCAAACCGCTCTCTAAGTCACTTAATGGGATTTTTTCATGGGCCCTCAACATCAGTGTAAACTTGGGCAAGTCTCAGTTTCCTTTTTTGTAAAATGAGTGTTGGATTAGGTAATCTTTAAGGCCCATTCACACTCCAAATCCCTTGGGCCTTTATGTGTGTTCTGTGTGCCCACAAACACATGTATTCAGTGTGGTATATTGAAGAACTCTAGAAATAGGAGCTGCTTTTGTTATAAATTGTTGGTTGTGAAGACATCCCCATTTACCACTACACACACACACACACACACACACACACACACACACACACACGCGTGCGCACACTCTCTCTCTCTCACACATACACACACACACACACACACACACAATGAGTTGTGTTATGGCCATTTGGTCTGGATGAATGATCATTCTCATGGTTGCATTTTTAAGAAAATCATTTGTAGATCAGTCCATAACTTACAGATGTTATTTGGACTCTCCTCACCTCAGTTTCCTCCTTTGTGAGTAGAGATGAGATTATTCACCCTACTTATCTTCTAGAGTTGTTGTGAGGCTCAGCTAACACGATGAAAGTTTTTATAAAAATATAAAAAGGTTTTATAAAATTATAAAGCAGTATACATGATTGGCTAAAGTCTTAATGTTTATCCTTAAATGATAAATGGAATTACTGGATTGTATAGCTTAATCTATGAAGAATTAGCTAAAATAATGAGACTCTCAGTTTGGGATATATGTCAGGGGGAATGGGGTGGGGGTAATGTTTGTAGAGTCTCTAGTCCTGAGCCCTCTTTCCTTCTGCCCTTCCCAGAGCGCTTTGACCATCATTGTCCCTGGGTCGGAAACTGTGTCGGCAAGAGGAACTACCGCTACTTCTACCTCTTCATCCTTTCTCTCTCCCTCCTCACCATCTATGTCTTCACCTTCAACATAGTCTACGTGGCCCTCAGTGAGTAGAATTGTCTGGGAGCAGATGTCAGTCCTGGAGATCTGGGACAGGATATCGCCATAGCTGGCTCTCTGAATTTGGAGATGGGAATTACTGGGAATGAGAGGGGCCTGCTTAGTCTTCTTCACTTTAAGTCTTTGTTGAGGCCAACTATAGGGTCAGCCCACTGTAGTAAAACCACCTTAGTAGCTTAGTGTATTAGAAAGAGCCCTGGACTCGGGAGTTACAATATCTGGGTTCAGATCCCAGTTTTGCTGGAAGTGACCTTGGGCAAGTCATTTAACCTCTGTTGGCTTCAGTTTCCACATGAATAAAATGAGAGGGCAAGGCTGGATGGCCTCTTAAGGTTCTTTCCAGCTTTAGACCTTATAATCACAGTTAAGATTTTTTCACTCCCTGGCCCATCCTTTTTACTTCCTTACCCTTAGGGAAGCCTTTGGTGATTAGGCCATCTGCAGGGGACATTTCTGAGTCCTATTACAGAGGGAGCAAGGCTGTTCAGTCTCCATATATCCCATGGCTGCTCCTTTACATTTCATATATATATTTATATACTCCTTTACATATATGTGTGTACACACACACACACACACACACACACACACATACACACAGAGCTGTGGGGCTCAACCTGGGTAGAGAAAAGGAAGATAGAGTGGAAGGTGGATTCTGATTCCACAGCTGGGCCTGGGGGGAAAACAAAAAAAGCTACAGAAGAGAAATGGCCTATGCAGAGGCCAGAGTAAAGGGGCTTCCACCGATCAGAGCTGTGTGACCAAAGAAAGAGAAGGGTACCCAGAAGGCAAGTGGGTACGCTGCTTTTCTTAACAAGATCACTAACTTTTCTCTTTACTTCTTTCTCACAGAGTCCTTGAAAATTGGCTTCCTGGAGACGTTAAAAGAAACTCCTGGAACATATCCTTGGAAAGATTTTCTCTTTGCGTCCCTTCCCACTTGGATCCCTCTAATTCCTTATCACTGAATTCCTCAATCTTGGACCCTTTGGGGGGTTTCCAAGGCCACAAATAACGTGACATGGGTAGAGCTGACCAAACCAAAGAATTGTCAGACTGGGAGAAAGCTTAGCATCTACATCAACCCCCCTCATTTTCCAGATCCTCAAAAGGAGACCTAGAGGAGGGGAGTGATTAAGTCAAGGTCACATAGCTAAGAAATATCAGAGCCAGGACTTGACCTCCTGTCTTCTGACCCCCAAATTTAATTCCTTTTCACAATGCAGTGAAAATCTAAAAGTGGATTCAGATGAGGACCAGTGGTGATGATCAGTCTAAATCTGTAACAATTGCATGGAACACAAACCATGGGGAAGGAATGAGAAGCTGTAGGGAGAGGTATTTGTCTTTCTATTTGTTTTCTGCCCATTCGGGAGCCGATTGACTTTATTTACCTTTCTTGCTTTTTTTTTCTTTCTGAATATCTTTTTTAAAAGGTATAGATGAAAAAGTAGCAAGGTATAGTGGAAAGAACCTTGAATTAGAAATCTTGAGTTAGAAATTAGAAATTAGCCTTGAGTTAGAAATTAGAAATTAGCCTTGAGTTAGAAATCTGGATTTGGTTCTTGGCTTCTTTCACTTAGAATTTATTAAGGAAAACGAAAACCTTTTTGTAGCTGCCTTTGAAGGCCTCTCATCATCTAGCTTATCCCCTGGCATGGAGTCAGAGGACCTGCATTCAAATCCTGGATCTGCTTCTTGCTTTGTGGCCTTGGACAAGTCACTTTCCTCTCTTGGTGTCTTACATTTATGCATTTGTAAAATGAGAGAATTGAGCTAAGTCTCTGAGATCTTTTCAGCTCTATGGGCTTAGAACTAGATAACCTTGTGTGTCTCCTAGCTAGATTCAATGATCCTTCCGTGTTCCTTAACTTGGGCTCACTGTGCTGGAAGTACTCATCTGCTTCTTCACTCTCTGGTCTGTTGTGGGGTTGACAGGATTCCATACGTTCCTCGTGGCCCTCAACCAGACAACCAATGAAGATGTGAGTGAAGGCTTCCCTCTTGGTGCTATCCACCTCCCTCTGCCTGGGGGCCTCCTTTCTCAACCCAATAGCAGATTGGGACTTTAAGGCCCTACACATGCATAGGTGGACTCTGTAGGAATCCCAGCCTTGGAGAAAGGGAGACACGGAAACCTGGAACTCTGCCTTACCTGGAGTTGTTGGATATATTTGAAAGCACAGGCAGGTTCAGAGAGGGTGCCAAGCTGTAATGAGCAGCAACGGGGGAACTAGAGTGTTCAGAATCTATTCTTAATCTGCAGAGTTGGTAACAGGGAGACGGAGAAGCCATTGCCCATTAGAGATGATTTTGGGTTGAAAGATCCTGGATGGGGCTGCCCCAGGCCTGCAATTCCGACAACCTTATTCAGTCCAGCAAATATTTGCTTAAGTCTCTTGTGTGTGTAGGACAATTGAGTTCTTAGGGTTGTCAGTACCATAAACAGAGTGACCTCAGCTGTGCTAGGCAGTAGGGAGCACAGACCCAAAGGAAAAAGGAGGGAGGGAAGGGCCTTTCCTTCAAGGAGCTGATAATCCAGGTTCGAAGAGAAAACCCCATGGGAAATGATATGTCTGTATACTGAGAAACATGAAGCCGCACAAGTGGAGGGGATTCCCATAAGGGCAGAGGGAGGGCTGCGGCTAAACACAGAAAGCTTAGTTCGGAAGAAGGGGGATGGGTGTGAATTGGCGGCTTGGTGGAGGAGGAGGGCGTTCCAGCTGGCAGAGATGGCGCATACAACATTGTATAGCATAATATTATAGTTATCTGTGTCCCCTTTATGTCCCCATGAAGGCAAGTATCCTCTGTTATCTAATCATCAGACACACATGTTCACACACACATACATACATGCACAAATACATGAACACACATGTACTTGTGCTCACATGTGCCTGTGCTTGCATACACACATGCACACAGAGGTGTGCACACATGCTCAGACATACTCCAGGCACTGCACACAGTAGGTACCTAATAAATGTTTTTAATTGTCTAAACTTTGCTAGGTACTAGGGGGACAGAAAATGTTTGATTATCCAGTTCAGTGAACACTTAAGCACCTACTCAGTATTGAAGGGAAAACAGTGCAAGAAATAAGTGCTTAATACATTTGTTGAATTGTGTGCCAATATATTCTGAATATATGGAAAGCAAGTGGATTTTATTGTTGGGGCAAAGGGTTCAGGGGGAATGAAGATGGAGGAAGCTTAAGAGATGGCACCCTGGGGAGGCACTCAGCTGGACAGGAAGGCCCTCAGAGGCTGGTGTCAGGTGTCTAGATTTGGCAGAAGGAGTCTTTGCCTTTGTCTTGCAGATTAAAGGTTCCTGGACAGGGAAGAACCGAGTGCAGAACCCATACAGTCATGGCAACATCCTAAAGAACTGTTGTGAGGTGCTGTGTGGCCCCTTGCCTCCCAGGTACATGTGGTGTGGGCGGGACCTGGCTCAATCTTCTCCTGCCCCCTCTGCTAACTTCTGAGGGGAAGGGGGTCTCTTGGGACCAAACCTTGGCGCTCTCACTATGTGAGGACCATATATCAGCTCCCCTTTCTATAACACTTAGCGATTTTACCAAACACTTTTCTCAAAATGAGGCGAGGAGGGAGGGAGTGCAGATATTATTCCCTACTGTACAGCTAGAGAAAGTGAAACTCCAATAAGTGACTTGTCCTAGGTTACCTGGCTAAGGGGTATCATTTTCGATCTGGGCTGCTTCTACCTTTTCTGTGCCCTGGCCCCCTTTGAAACCTGTGAATAAGCTTTCTCAGAATCAAGGTTATGAATGCATAAAAAAAAGGATGACAGAGGAAACTAGTTAGATTGAAATAGTTATCCAAATGTGTCTTTTCTGAAAAGTTCACTGACTCTAGGTTCTGAACCCTGGCTTTAAAGTCTGACTGACCTTGTCTAGTTGGGAAGGGGCCTGGCCGCCCCCGGTGGCTGTTGATTTCAAATCCAGATTGGCCTGAACTAGACCCTGTAGTGTGGGAAATATGAAAAGGTAAAGGCTGGAATCAGGGGGAGGAGAGAGGGAAATGTGAACTTGTCCCCCAGACAGAGGGTGGTCAGCCTAGGAGCTTGAGGAAGCTTCAAAGGTTAGGGCAGGAGCAGCAAAATTAAGTGCTACTTTCCACAAAGGTCAGGGGTGGGGTGGGGTGGGGGATGGAGAATAGAGTCATGCTCTCCTTTGCAGTGTGCTGGATCGACGGGGCATATTGCCACTGGAAGAAAGTGGAACTCGACCCTCAAGCACTCAAGAGGCCAGCAGCAGCCCATTTCCACAGAGCCCAGTAAGTGTTCCTATGTCTGCCTCATCAGAGGAAAGAACAGCTCCCATTTCTCCAGCACTCTGGGGGCTTATTATAATGTGATACAGCAAGCCAGTGAGGTGGCTAATATGAGAGTGTTTGGTTTTCCTTAAGAAAAAAAAATTGATCATTATGCCAAATGGGAGGGAAGAATGAATATCGGGTGAAAATTCCTTTTGGGTTATGTATCTTCTTTATAGCTTTAGCAGCTATTTTGACACCTGTAGCACCAACATTTGTACTCACATAATTGTCTGGAAATGCAAGTATTATTTTTATTATACAGATGAGGAAACTGAGGTCCAAAGAGGGAAAAGGAACCCCAAGTCACATGACCAGCATCAGAGCTGGAAATTAAACTCAGAGTCTTCTGCCTTAAGGCTTGTTCTCCCACACCATCCTTCTTTTTCACTCCCTTTTGTGGTGATAGCAGCTCTGGTAGAGGTGTCTTTCTCTCTGTTTGCAGCAGCAGCGTGGTGTAGTGGGAAGAGGGTCTGACTTGTCAGGAGAGACTTAGATTGATTCTTCCCCCATGACACTTCCTGGCTTCATGACCTTGGGCAAGTCATTTAACCTCAATGCCCCAGGCAACTCTTTTTTAAAAATTTTATTAATTTATTTTGATTTATCAACAATCACTTCCATATGCTTTTGAGTTAAAACTTTTTCTCCCCTTTCCTTCCTACCACCCTCCCCAAGACGGCGCACAATCTGATATAGGCTATACATTTGCATTCCATACATTTACAACTTCCATAGTTCTTTCTTTGGATGTAGATAGCATTTTCCATCATGAGGCCTCTGGAGATGTCTTAGATCCTTGTAATGCTGAGAAGGGTTAAGTTTATCAATATTAGTCATTGCACAACATGTCTGTTATTATGTACAAAGTCCTCTTGGTTCTGCTCACTTCACTCAGCGTCAGACCATACAAGTCTTTACAGGTTTTTCTGAAGTCAGCCTGTTCATCATTTCTTAATAGCACAATAGTATTCCATTACATTCATGTACCACAACTTGCTCAGCCATTCCCCAATTGATGGGCATCCTCTCAATTTCCAATTCTTTGCCACCACAAAAAGAGCTGCTATGAATATTTTTGTACATGTGGGTCCTTTTCCCCTGTGTATGATCTCTTTGGGATATAGCCCTAGAAGTGCTATGGCTGGATCAAAGGGTATGCACATTTGTATAGCCTTTGGGCATAGTTCCAAATTGCTCTCCAAAATGGTTGGATCAGTTCACAACTCTACCAATAATGCATCAGTGTTCCAATTTTCCCACATCTTCTCCAACATTTATCATTTTCCTGTTTTGTCGTGTTGGCCAATCTGATAGGTGTGATGTGGTACCTCAGAGTTGTTTTGATTTGCATTTCTCTAATCAGTAATGATTTAGAGCATTTATTCATATGACTATAGATGGCTTTAATTTCTTCATCGAGAACTATCTGTTCATATCCTTTGACCATTTATCAATTGGGGAATGGCTTGTATTCTTTTAAATTTGTCTTAATTCCCAGGCAACTCTCTTAAGACTAGAAGTTGTAGGGGCAGCTAGGTGGTGTAATAGATAAGAGCACCAGTCTCCAACACTTGTTATTTTACTCCCATTGCCTCAAAAAAAAAAGTTGTAGAACAGTCCCTAAAGTCATTGGTAGTCTCCCAAGTTCCTGTCCTATACAGGATTGCCTGTTAAATATTTTGGACTGGATGTCCCATAGGCATCTCATACTTAACATGTCCAAAAAAAGAACTTATTATCTTTTCTCCCAAACACATCTCCCTTCCAAACTTATCTCTTTTGAGGGCAGGCACCTGGAGTTGAGACCTTGGCGTCATACCCCACACAGCCAATTGGGTTGCCAAGTCTTGATTCTCGTCTCTCCCCTTTTCTCATCCACACCACAACTGTCCTCACTTAGGTTGTCATCTGGACTATTGCACTAGCTTCCTAATTGGCCTCCCTTCTCCAGTCATGTTCTACACCAACACAAGGGCCTTTCTAGGCCTCAGTTTCCTCCTCTGTAAGATAAGAAGTGTTTACCCCGTGTTTGGCTTGGGTGTTGTTTTCTTTGGTTTTGTTATGAAGGTTACAATTATAGTAATAAAAGAAAATGAAGACACTGACCTCAGATGGTCTCTAAGGTCCCATGACCAGATTTGGTGTCAGCATATTTTTTTTTATTTTTGCTAGGCAATGGAGTTAAGTGACTTGCCCAGGGTCGCACAGTTAGTAAGTGTTATGTGTCTGAAGCTGGATTTGAACTCGGTCCTCCTGAATCCAGGGCTGGTGCTCTATCCACTGCGCCACCTAGCTGCCCCCCCCCATGACCAGATTTGGAAGTTGAGTGTGGTGCAATGTATTCAATCCTGATTGTGAATTTGAAGGAAACTTTTATTTCAGTCTGTTTGCTCTCTCTTCTCCCTCAGGTGGTCCCCACAGAGCCATTGAGCTCGAATGAGCTGCCCCTGAAAGCCTGTGCTCCTGAGGAGATGCAGTCCAGTGTTCTGGCCCAGCAGGGTCCAGAGTCCCCAGAGACTCCCCAGGAGGCCTCTGGAGCTGAAAAGTAGCTTCTCTGCGCAGCAGAGAGAGAGAGAGACCTGTGTTTTTCTTTAATGAGAGCGGAGAGTGATTGAGGGGGAGAAGACAACCTTGAGACAGAGGGCAAGTGAGCCATCCCTTTTGCCATTTTTTTTTTGGTCTCTGTTCACCTAATTCCGGATTGGAATATTTTCTATACAAGCTATTTTTCCTGGACTCTAGGAAGTAGCACAGTGATGTCCATTACATATAGTAGCTTGAAACTTGGGTTTCAAGGGCCTTGGCCTCGAGTTCCCTTCGGGTCCCTTCTCTGGCTCTTAAGGGAAGTAGGGAGAGTTGTTGACATCCCATTACTTGTCCCTGGACCAGAGATAGCCTCAAAGGCTTCTGTCCATTGAATCCCCAAAGGGCCCAGATGGAAGCAATTTGAGCCCTATTTCCGCCCCCTAGTTGGAGGAGAGGAATGGGGATGAGACAGAGCTGTGACTGGCAAAGTCTTAGTGCATTGGGCCGTGCGGTTCATGCCTGTGGGTGGGATCCTTCTGGACACTTGTATTTATTAATGTAGTTTCCTTCTTCAGTCTCCCTCCCCATTCTCTACCTCTCTGACCCCCTTCTTTTTCAATTAGATAGAAGTTAGTAGGAATAGTTAGTGAGTTAACAATTTGCAGTTTTCATAGCCCACCCCAAAACTTTGTAATGTCTGTGCCACCCTCAGTAAGAAATTGTGTGATGCCAATAGCTACAGCCCCACTGTTCTCTCTGTCTCTCTTTATCTCTCTGTCTCTCTCTTTATCTGTTTCTCTCTGTCTCTTTCTCCCCCCTTTTCTAATATCCTATTCAGACTCTTGCTCCATTTGGGAGCAGTAACTAACAGCTAAAAAGTCTGCACTTTGGTGCCTCCTTTTCTGCAAGGGGTTTTGCAAGTGTTCATAAATGCTACCCTTTACTCCCCCCCTCAACTTCAAGTTCAGTCCATGAGGCCTCCAGTGGTCTCGAGTGCACAAATGAATAAATTGAGGCACAAAGGAATGGCTTCAGAGCCGGGTAAGAAGGGGAAACCTCCTGCCGGTTAACTCACAGGCCTTGGCCAGTGTTTCCTTCCTTCGCCCTCTTCCCTTAGGGCTAACTCTCATAGCACTTCTGCTGGCCTCTGTAAATGCAGAGGCCTGGGGATGATCCCTACTCCTGCTCCCCACCCCCAGTGGTGGGCTGGGTCCCCCGTCCAGCATTTGGGGGACCGGTTTTCTCCAGCCCTCAGCTGCGCTTCAGGGATAAGGATTTGTGTATCAAATGCAGCTGTGTTTCTGAGAGAGTCTATGCCCTTTCTAAACTGGGGTCCTGTGGAGATGACTTTAGTGGGGAGAGGGTTAACCAGGGCTTTTTATCTGTTTGAAGGTGATTAAACTGTGTTGATGCAAACTGCCTGCTTCCTTCCATTTTTACTGTGGGGTTGTGTGTGGTGCCAGAGTGTGTTGGGGTGGGGGCCAGGGGCTGCTTGTGGAAGAGCTCCTACCCAGGCTTACATTTGCCTTGTGGGGGGGGGCTGTCGTATGGGGGGAGATGGCTGGCCATGATGTCAGGGACACTCAGCTGCTCATCTAGCTATGAGCCAGTTTTCCTTAACCACGGCCCAGGAAGAAAGGGTTTTGGAGGTAGTTTGTAGTGAGAACGAGGTGGCAGGGGCTATGTTTAATCTATCAAGGAGGAGAGATCATTTCATTTCTGTGAGACTCAGAAAAATGGGGTGGGGTGGTCTTGCAAGTAGAGGCTCCTAATGACAAGTACTCTAGCCATTTGTTAAAATAGGGCTTTGAGGGCCTTCCTTTGGAAACTGTTAGCAGTTCTCAAGAAATAGAAGCCTGCATTTCCTTAAAGAGACGGAGACTTAAGAAATTTCCTTATAAAGACTGAGTCTCCCCGTCTCCTCTATAGCTGGGGAAACTAAGGCATAAAATGACTTGCCAAGGGTCACAGAGCTCAGGGTCTTCCCTAGAGCTTGACTCCAGGTTCTCTGAAACCCAGCCCTGATCTCTTTCTATCTAACACAGAGTTCCAGAAGGCACCGTCTACAGGACTTACCCTATCAGCCATGTTATCCCAATGTTATCCCCTGGTCTGGTCTCAGTTCTCCCCATCCCATTCCCCTCCTACTGTGAAAACGTGGCTTGGTCATCTCACAAACCACTATGCTATGCTAGATTTCTTTCTGACAGGAAGGAGAAGAGTGGGGAGTTCCCTTGGTCTAGTGTGAAAGAAAGAACCTCTTCCCCTATTAGGTTTCTGTTCTGCCATATTGAGCTATTTCCACCCCCAACCTCCAGCCTACCCATCCTTTTTCCTCCTTCTTGACTCTTTCATCTGTTTTTGAGACCAGCCAGGAGAGCTGGCCCATTCAGACTGCCCACCGGCCAGGATAGTCCTGAAACTCCATTCTGATCTCAGGGGAGATTAGAAGATTGATCTTTCCCACGGGAATAGGCCTATAATTGTTTTGTCTTTTCAATGGCTGAGCCCTCTCTCCAGCTCCCTTCCACACACTCCCCCTCCCCAACTCTTCCCCCCCCTTCCCCCTGCAAGGCAACTCCCAAGTGTCCCACTTCCCCAGACTGGTTGGCAACAGTCCTGAAATCCCACACTATGGAGAGCTGCAGCTATTCTTGACTATTCCCTTCATGCCCAAGTGGCCTTGGGATCCTCGATTCTGATCAAGATCACCACTTCTCCTTTTGTTCTCTGAGCCTCCACCCTCCCCCCATAGCTGGGATTGTGTCTGGGCTGAATTCCATGCCTCTTAATCCTGACCTTCCTATTCTGACTAAATTTCTACTTGTTGCTAAATAACTTTAAAATGTACTTTTCTTTTAAATAGATGTGGTAATTTAATATGTATTCTGCACTTTGGTGTGAATTAGGATGTGTATTGATTTCTGTTCTACCTCTTGCTATTTATTACTGAAGCATTCTTTTTTTTCTTTGAAACCAATTAATGAGACTTGAATTGGTTTGAGAAATTCATAGATGTGTGTATGTGGTTCTGCCTCCTTTCTCTCCTTGTGTAGCTTGAATGACCCCCCCCCCATGTTGGGAATGGCCCCCTTCCTTTTGGGGTGAGAGGCTCTTTGTGGGATTCCCTTTTGTGTCCCTTGGATTGACTAAAGCGGTAACCTAGCAACTCTCCCACTTTTCCATTCCTTAAACCTTCATGAGTCAGTTTGTTCTAGTTTTAACTGGTTTTGCTTTGCCTAGACTAGGAGAAATTGTTTCAGGATGATGCTTTTGAAAACCTGGGCCATGATATCCTCCACTGACACATTTATTTCTGGTACAAAGGGCTTACACACTTAGCCCTTACAGCTCTGTAAAGTGGGCAGTGTTTCCATTTTACAGATGAAAAAACTGAGTCTCAGTGAGACACAGTGACTTAACCCAGACTCACAGCTACTAAGTGCCACAACTCTAAAATGGAGCACCCAAATTTTGATAAGTTCTACAATGGGAAGAGTACTTTGAAGCTGGGATATATGAGGGCATTCCCTGACTGAGCAGGAAGGGGAAGGGCTCTTCTTGAATCTCAAGACTTTGGAAGCCTAAAGTTGAGGAGTGGGGAGAACTGGGGATGGCAGTGGGGGAGCCAAGGGCCCTTTGTGCAGGTTCTGGAATGCAGAAACTAGGCTGGGATGTAGAGCTCTTCTTCAGCATTCCCTCTGCCTCCCAGGGGCCTTGCTGTTGGGATGGATGGGACTCATTTTAAAGAAGGGGAAACCGAGGGCCTGAGAGAGGAAGTAACTTGTCCAAAATCACAGGTGCTAAGTGGCAAAGCCAGGATTCAAACTTGGGTGCTTTACCTTCAAATTCAGAACTCTAGCTAGACCCTTCTTTCCCCCAGCTGGGAAACCCTCATTCTGAATTTCGTGACTCTGGAATTTTCTTAGTCCCAAAGGCTCACTGATTGTTAGGAATGAAAGGATCCTTAGAGGTATCATCTAAGCCATCAAACCTTGGATGTCACCAGCCCAACTCTTTCATGAAGAGGGGGAAACTGAGGCCCAAGGAGGTGAGCACTTTCCCCAGATCTATCCTTCCTCCACTTATTGTGATACTCAACAGTATGGCTGAAAGAGCCCTGGCTTGGGAATCACAGAACTTGGGTTCAGACCCCTATTCCACAATTCCCTGGGTGATCCTGGACAAGTCCTATCCTATATGTGTTTCCCTCATTTTGCTTCCTCCACTGACACAAATCCCAGCTCCTTCTAGTTCTGCGGGGGGCTTTAAGAGTTCTTTCAGCCAACCTGGTGACGAGCAGCCTCTACTTACCTAGCTAGGTTGGTTTATCTCTGCTGGTAGAGCATTCAAGAACCCAGGGGTCACCTCCACTCCATGAGGAGGCTTCAGCTGAGGAAACCAATGCAGGGCACTCATTTTATAGAAGGGGAAACTGAGGCCCTCACCGATGCTTTGAAGATGGCAATTTGCATTTTGAACTCTGGATGTCAAAGTGAAGTAGAACTTTCTAGACCCGACCCAGGCTGGCCTGCTTGTGTGCATCGTTTTGAAAGTTGACTGCACTTTCAAGGCCTGCCGTGAGCTGGGAATCTAAGCCAAGGGAAGCTCAACTGCTGATGGAGTGGATAGAGCACTGGGCCTGGAATCAGGAAGGTCTATTTGCCTCAGTTTCCTCATCTGTAAAATGGAGATAACAGCACCTGGCTCCCAGAGTTGTTATAAGGATCAAATAAAGTAATATTTGTAAAAGTGCTTAGCACAGTGCCTGGCACATAGTAAACGTTACATAAAAAATGTTTATTCCCTTCCCTTCCCACCCCAACTCCCCAAGGGAGCTTGTAGCTCATGAGAAAAAACTGTCTCCAGCTTTAAGAGGTTTGAATGTGTCACAACTTTAGTGATACTGGTATGGTTGTATGGTAAATTATGTACCTAGAATGTGTGTGTGAGTTCTGCTTTTAATCAAATATAGGCATAATATTGGCCTGACCACTGTTTTCCCCAATAAAGTCACTAAAATCAAATCTATCTTTGTATTCTGAGATCTTAGAATGTCGTGGCTAAGAGACCTCAGGAAGCTGGGGCCTAAAGAGGGGAAAGGACTTGTTGAAGGTTACCCAGATATTAAGTAGAGCCAAGATTTGAACTTTTCAAGGTCTCAGTTTCCCCTTCTTTAAAATGAGTTGGCTGTCTGGTGCCCCTCCCAGCTCTAAATCCTCTTGACTTACTGCTTAAAATCTTTTTAACCTCCCCCGCATTAGGGCTGTAGTGATGGGTGGGACTTTGCACACACAGAAAATCAGGAAGCTGTCTGTCAGGTTCCCACAGAAGCTTGGCCAGCCCCTTTGTGTGGGTCCATTGCCCTGGGGTCCTTCTGATGCGATCTCTGGTGTGCCCCATCAACTGCTCCCAGTGGACCACGAATGCTATATTGGTAATGAGGCCATTGCTCTTATAGGAAAAGGTGAAATCTGCACATCAAGTGGTATAGAATTCTGTAT